CAGCAGGTACTGATGTGGTTTTCCACAAGACTCCTAGGAAAACTCTGGCTCTTGCACATCAGTAAAAAAGAACTGGAGGTCTCCCAGGGAAGGCTGCAGAGCAGAGCACCTTTTCTCCCTACTTCCCACATGCACCCACACTTTGTGTCAAAGGACACAACTACGTTAAGGGGAATGTCACCACAGGCGCCGGAACAGGAGCCAAACCCAGGTGCTGAACCTCGGAGGGCAAATACCCGATTTGGGTTTGCTATGTCCTCCTCAGGAGAAGCGAGAAACGTCCATGCCTAGAGGGAACACTCCTGGCACTAATTGTACATATTTTTCATAGGTGTAAGGAGCAAAGCATTTCAGAAAAGGAGGAATTAATGAGCTAGTTCAGCATAAATTCCAAATTCTGCAAGACCCTTATTTTTAAAAGTCATTACGGGAGCGGGTGTTGACATTCCAGTTAAAGGTGGCAAACAAAGGCTTTGCTCCCTTCCCTTCCCAGCAAAACAAGGATCGGGAACCTTTCCCTCTTAGGTCTTATAAAGAGCCTCCGTATACGCTCTTGTCACCAGCCCCACAGCCCTGCCCCCATGCCTAAATAACCAAAATGAACTAACTAAAGATAATTATAAAAGGTGAGGCATGGCCAGGCCCACTCCAACAAACTGGGAGCCCAGGGCAGAGAGGGAGGGAGCAGCTTTAGATGGCACAAAGGTCTCCAGGGGTTGGTTTTCGGGTGTCAAACACCTGACAGCACCCCGAGGGCAAGGAGGCAAAGGGAACAAACCCGACTTCCCTTGCCAGCATTCCCCCAGCTGATGGATTTGAGGAGTAACTGCGACGGTTTTCCAGTAATGGAAATGGGATCCTCTTGGTGTTTACAAATGGAGAAGGAAAATGGGATCATTGCTGCACAACAGAGGTGAGGTAGGGAATTTTATTGAAAATACTTTTTTATTTTTTTACAAGTTCTTAGAAATAAAGTTGTATTTCTAGTCTCACACAAATGGCTGTACCCCAAAAAACTCAGCTATGCTAATATGAAACATTTATATTTACAGTCAGCCAAAAGAACCCACAGAGCTGCCGTTTGGTGCAAACACCAAAACTGCTCACAGTGAGACGCAGCGCTGCCGCACTCCTGCCGTCAGACCAACGACCCTCTACCCTACCGACCCCCTAGCTCACACGGGGGAAGGCCTTTCACAGCGCTGAAGCAAGGTCTCCACTGCAGCACTCACTGAGACGTTACGCAGCGCCTGCGCCCATGGCCGGGTACGGTTGGCTATGAAGTGATGTACCGTGCCAGTGCTGTCCGAGCCCTTTATTGCTTTCATCCAAGCGTTCGTGTGGGGGGCTGACGCCCATCCCATCCGTTTTCATTCCTTTTGAGCACCTCAGCCGATGCGCACAGCTCACCGATTTGCAGCCGGCTCCCCTCCGGGCCAAACAGCGGCATATCCTCTCCCTCCTGCTCCGCACCCACTACCCCCACACTGCGTTTCCTTTCGGACGCAAAGACAGATACCCTTTCGCGTATTTACAATTACATTGAAAGCCAAACCACAGGAGTTTCATGGACACCCTTTACAGAGAAACCACAAATCACCGTTTGGATCTCCATGTAACATATCCACAGCATTTCACAACTTCCCAGAATCAGACCTTTTGAAACAGCACCTTCGGATGAAGACCTGCGCTCGTTTCCCATTCCCATTCGACAGGCACTACTTCCCACCCAGACATTCCCACACCAAGTTACAACAGCAATTGCTCTATTTACAGTGTAACATATTGCTTATCCCGAGCAGCTGGGCAAGACGCATCTCACAGCGCAACTATTTCAAGACTCGGAAAGAGAAGGACTGTAGTGT